GGCGGGAAAGTAAGTAGTCAGGATGACACAGTCTCGAGAGGGATATAGGCAGGTTAAGTGATTGGGCAAAAACTTGGCAGATGGAATATAATGAAGAAAAATGTAAGATTATGCACTTTGGCTGGAAGAATAGAAGAGCTAAATATCATTTGAATGGCAAGACTGTAGAAAGCTGCAGCACAGCGGGATCTGAGGTTTCATATGCATGACCCATAAAAAGCTAGTCTCCAAGTTTAATGGGTAATGCGGGAAGTCAAAGGGAATGGAATATAAAAGATGGCAGTCAGAGGACAACTCAAAATATTAATGATAACAAGGTGTAGAGCTGGATGAACACAGCAGGCCAAGCAGCATCAGAGAAGCAGGAAAGCTGACTTTCAGTTTCTGAAAAGTTTTCTGAAGAAGGGTCCAGACCCGAAATATCAGCTTTTCTGCTCCTCTGATGCTGCTTGGCCTGCTGTGTTCATCCAGCTCTACACCTTGTTACCTCAGATTCTCCAACATCGGCAGTTCCCACTATCTCTGAATCAAAATATTAATGCTCTGTCTCCCTCCACAGATGCTCCCAGACCTGCTGAGTCTCTCCAGCACTTTGTGTGTTCGTTGTAAAACAAATGCACTGATCAGACCACACCTGGAATACTGAGAGCAGTTTTGGATCCCTTATTCAAAGAAAGGGATACAGTCAGTTCTGCTATAACATGTATTCCGGCAACACAAATTGGCCATAACGCACCTGACAAATGAGGGAACGCTATTTCTAAAACTTGACATTGTGTTAGCTACAGGTTCCATTGGTGCACAGAGGAGTAAGTGTTGACATCACGATTGTTTTGTTGGCTTTGTCCTGAGCTTGCGCAATGTCAGCGGCGAAAGAGTCTCCGCGCCAGCATCACATGATCATTTTGCAGACTTGGTCGTGAAGTGTTTTCTGAGAGAGGTACAGTACTCTGATTTTCAGGGTTTTTTTGCAAATTCTGTGTTACCCACAAAAATGCAAAGACAAAGTGAAAATAACGTTAATAAGAAGTGGCCTCATGATAAAATTGTGGATAGTGACCGTAAAAGAAAGGCTATAACACTGGAACAGAAGCTAGATGTCATAAGGCTTTTTGAGTGTAATGAGAGAACATGTGATATAGTTCACCTAACACAAATAGAGGAGTCTAGCTTATGCACCGTAACAGACAATGCAGAAAAGATTAAAATAAGCTGTTTTGCTGAAACAAGTCTGAGTGCTTGCAAATCTGAGGGGTCACGGACAAAGGAACTTGGAGAGATTAAGTGGCTAAGTGTGTGGAGAGAAGATCAAATGAAAAAGTGATCTGGGACCACACTTTTCACCATAAAAGAGAAAGTCTTATCAATTTATGAAGATCCAACAGAAAAAACTGAAAATCCTGCAGATGTGCCTGCCTTTAATGCTAGCATAGCTGGTTTTAAGAACAGCAATACTTTACATAATGTAAAGTTGTGTGAAGCTGCCAGTGCTGACGAGGAGCATGCGATAGCACTTCCTCCTGTAATAAAAAAGAATTGACAAAGAAGGCTACAACTTAGATCAAATTTTCAATTTGGATGAGACAGGTTTATACTGGAAGCGAATGCCATCAAGAACCTACATTTTTATGAATGAAGCACACACTCTCGGCTTTAAGGTGGCAGAGCATCATATGACTGTGCTGCCAGGTGCCAATGCCAGTGGAGACTTAAAGCTTAAGCCTGTGGTAGCGTACCACTCTGCCAACCCGTGAGCCTTGAAAGGTTACTTTAAGTTTACCCTAGGCATCTACTTTAGGTCAAGCAAAAGAGGCTGGATTTCGGGGCAAATTTTTTCTGACCTTATTATGTTTTGGAAGATATTTTGGAACTGTTTTTAGAAAGTATTGCTGGAAAAGAAATTGGATTTCAAGGTTTTCCTCATCCAGGATAATGTGCCAAGCCATCCTCCCACCATTGGTGAGCTTTCTGAAAACATCAAAATGTTCTTTCTATTCCCAAACACAACCTCTCTCCTTCAACCCATGGATCAGGGTGCAATAGCAGATTTTAAAGCTTATTATTTAAGGCGCACATTTAAGAGGCTGATTGCAGCCTCAGGGGATAAGGACAGAGTTCTTCAATTTTGGAAGAGCTTTAACATCAAGAATGCAATTGACATTATGGAGGAGGCCTGGGGTGATGTCAGTAGGACTGCTTGCATGCAGTTTGGCAGAAGCTACTCCCAGATTTTTTTCAAGATTTTAAAACTTTTGATCCGTCAGAAGTGCTCCCAAGAATCAAAGAACATTGTGTTGATCTTGCAAAGCAAGTTGGGTTTGAAGAAGTGGAGAGTGAGGATGTTGAAGAGCTGCTCGAGTCCCACTGTGAAAACCTCTCTACAGCTGATCTATAGCATCTTGTTGCTGACGGGGAAGTGGAAGCTGGAGGTGACAAAGATGAATCCAGGATGCAGCACCACAAGAGCTTTCCATTTCCATTTTGTCTTCTATCCTGAGGGAAATTGAGAAGCAGTTGCAGCTCTTAGAGGCCGACGATTACACAACGCAGAACATAACAGGGTAGCAGTTTGTGGAATAAAATCTTATTTGGCACCTTTCATGAAAGAAAGAGGGCAAAGCAGCAAAAACTGGATGTCTTTTTTAAGCCATCATCCAAGAAACCTAGAGGCATGATTCTCCAACCATACTTCAAACCTATGGAATTGGACCCCATATACAAACCCACACAGATCAAAACCGGAAATGACAGTACTCACCGTAACGGACTGGACAGTATAAATTCCAAGCAGAGTAGAATAACATTGCTTCATCGAAGGTTCCACTGATGATGTCACCTAGCACGGTGACGAGACGTCTGAACAAAAATAAGCCAGCTTGGCCAGCAAGTCAACAACCTCACCCAAGCAACCATCAGAAGACGATGAACCACAGCCATTCACTTCTGGTGATGGTGATGGTGATCCTGCATTACTAACAGAGATATCACAAACCTCCTCCCCCATCAAGTCATCTTGACAGGTTTTCAAGATCAGGTGTTAAATTTACTTTTATTTCATTTTTAGATATGAATTGAACATTTATTCAAACTGTGCTATCCTTTGTGTTAGACTTTTGAGTGATTTTTGAGTGACTTTGAGTGATTTTTTTGGTGGTCTGCCCCTAACACCACTTTTCCCATAGGCCCTGTTATTTCGGTAGCACGATTTTCAAAAACAGTGTTGCGCAGGAATGCAACTACTGCATTATAGCAGAGCCAACTGTACTGACATGGGAGGCAGCCAGGGAAGGTTGGTTCAGGGTATACAGGGATTTTCTTCTGATGACAGGTTGATTAGGTTAGGTCTGTACTCATTGGAGTTTGAAGAATGGGGTGACTTTATTGAAACATTATATTGTTAAGGGGGCCTGATATGCTCAATGTAAAGTGTCTAGGAGCTGAGGGCATCGTCTCAGAATAGGGGGTTGTACATTTAAAGCAGAGGTAAGGAGGAAACTTTTCTGGGGGTAGTGAATCCATGCAATTCTAATGGACATATTTTTAATTAGTAAGGCAATCGAAGGTTATGGGGATAAAACAGGAAAGTGGAGGGAACAGACTGGATAGGCCAAATAGCCTACTTCTGCTCTCACGTCTTATGGTTTTAGGTAGAACATTACTTCCTACAGCACATGTGAGATAGGAAATTGCAGAGATATTTCCATGCAAGTAATACTGTTTGCTTTGAAATTAACAGGGAGGCGTGGCCTACTGGAATTATAACGAGAGTATTAATCCCAAAACTCAGCTCACATTTTGGGAACTGACTTTGAGGGAGTGCAACAAAGGTTTTACCGCACTGATTTCTGAGATAACAGCATTGACATCTGAAGAGAAACTGGATCGGTTAGGAATATATCCACTGGAGTTTAGAAGAATGAGGGGGCACCTCACAGAAGCCTAAAAAATTCCAACGGGGCTAGACAGGGTAAATCTGGTTTAAAAAAAAATCTGGAATTAAGAAGCTAAAGATGACTATGAATCCATTGTTCTTAGTGGGAAAAACTTATCTGGTTCACTTATGCTCCCTAGGGAAGGAAACTGCCATCCTTACCTGGTCTGGCCTACATGTGATTCCAGACCCACAGCAATGTGGCTGACTCTGATCTACCTTCTAATCAATTAGGGACAGACAATAAATGTTAGCCTGGCCAGTGACGCCCTCATCCCATGAATGAACACAAAAAAAAAGCAGGAAGAACACTCCTAAATACTAAGGAATCCAGAACCAGAGGGTGCAGTCTCAGGATACAGAGTAAGCCATTTAGGACTGAGATGAGATATTTCTTCACTCATTGAGTAGTGTTCCTGTGGCATTCTCTGCTACCAGTTGAAGCCAAAATATTAAATGTTTTCAAGGAGCTAGATCTAGTTCCTCAGGCTAAAAGGATCAAAGGATACTTGCAGGAAATGGGAACAGGGGATTGAGTTGAATGATCAACCATGACTATACTGAATGGCAGAGCAGGCTCAGGCCAACTGGCCTCCTTCTGCTCCTATCTTCTTTGACTATAAAATATGATGCAAAGGTCGGGATGGTAGTCAATAAAAGCAAAACAAAAAAAAAATCTATGATCATTCATTGTAATATTGCAGCAAGAAAAACAGCACTAAAATGTTTGCATTGAATGTGATGCTTGCTTTCAAAATTAACATTTCAAAACAAAGGTAAATAGCTTCATGGGTCCAAATCAAGTGGAACCTGGAGGTATTTTCACCTTTGTGACTGAGGCAAAATTCAAAAGCTACAGTTTTAAAACATCTGTTTAATGGTCAGAAAAGGTTCCCACCATCACAGGTAATCAGCAGTCAAACCACAACCAATGAACTGACAACCAATCCAATATCCGAACACTTTCAAAGAACAGGCAAAATTGACTTCTCTCAAGCATGTTTACTGCCTTCTAACATACATTCAGCAGGATGTCTGAATGGTGGAGCACAGCTTTCCAATTTTTTACCTTATGGCAAACTTCAGTCTTTATCTCTTTCATAGCACGCTCCGAAAAGACACAGCCACAGTCACGGAGGTAACAAAATCTGTAATATCAAATGAGTTCAGTAACAACAGTGAATACCTTCTCAAACCTTTTGTTTAAACTTACTCTGCGTTTATGATGTAGGTCAAGAGACTTGGCCTGTGGTTGGGGATGGAGATGGCAAATGGCATGCAGGGAGACAAAGTGGCATTCTCGGGGGAGAGACAGTACTGGGAGGGAGTAAACAGCACAGGTGAGGCGGGGGAGGCGGGGGGGGGGGGGGGAGTGGGAAGAATGGCACAGGAGACAGTAGATAGATAATACGGAAGGGGAAGAAAAGAGTATTGCTAATATCGATCACGTTCAACTGCCTCACAGCGCCAAGGACCTGGGTTCAATTCAAGCCTCTGGTGACTGTGTGGAGTTTGCACATTCTCCCCGTGTCTGCATTGGGTTTTCCTCCAAGTGCTCCGGTTTCCTCCCAAAATCCAAAGACATGCAGGGTAGTTGGACAGTTCATGCTAAATCGCCCAAAGTGTCTAAGATACGGGGTGGGTCTGGGTGGGATGCTATCGGAGGGTCGATGTGGACTCGGTGGGCCGAATGGTCTGCTTCCACACTGTAGGGATTCTACGGGTACAGCCTGTTATTTTAAGATCATAAGATATAGGAGCAGAGGTAGGCTATTTTTTCATCAAGTCTGCTCCACCATTCCGTAAGACCATGGCTGATTCGATAATCCCAATTCCACACTCCTGCCTTATCTTCATAACCCTCAATTCCCTTACTGATTAAAAATCCGTCTATCGCAGCCTTGAATATACTTAATAACCTAGCCTCAACTGTTCTCTGCAGAGAAAAATTCCACAGATTGACTACCCTCAGCAAAATCTCATCTGTCTTAAATGAGTAATCCCCAATTCTAAAACGATGCCCTCAGCTTCTGTAATTTGCCACATGGGAAAAACAACCTCTTCCCATGTTTCAGTAAGGTGAACCCTATTCTTCTGAACTCCAAATAAGTACAGGCCCACCAACTTACCCCCTCCTCATAAGTAAATCCCTCCATACTTTGAATCAACCTAGGGAACTCTTCCTGGACTGTAAAAGTTCTCCTGTTGGTGTTTTGGCTGAGAAACACTACCGACCACAAGTCGTCTAGATAACTCCTACCAGAGGGTGTGGATTGCTGCAGACTTGCTGTTAACCAGCTGGTAACTGGAAGAGCACTTTAAATGGTTGCAGCCAACATTTAAATTTTCCTCTTCCAATCTAATGAACAGATGAGTACCACCCTTTCTGCTTAACAAAAAAAATTAAAGATTCAGACGGCGGTGCTAACAAGAAAAATTCATGTTCTTGACAAATACCAACACTGAAACCTTGGGTCCTTTTTGGTTACAGTAGTAAACACCCATCGTTGCTTCCACCAAAATAACAGTTAGATTGTAAAGTAGCAACAGAGAGGTTGTATACCTGCTTTAACGGTCAGTTAATGGGGTCTCTTGTGGTGCAATGGTAATGCCCGAACCTCTAAGCCAGAAGGCCTAGGATCAAGTCCCACCTGCCCTAGAGGTGTGTAACAACATCTCTGAACAGGGTGATTACAAAATATCACAACGGTCACCAAGTGGTGCCCTGGCAAATCTAAAAGTTTTGTATAACTCCCAAACATTTACACCGTTTAACAGCTCATCTGTTAACTAGCTGTATATGTAATTCTCATGAGTCACACAGTGCTAATGTTAAGGAAATATAAAATTCAAAAACTCACTTCTGTCGACCATTCATTTCCAAACCAACTACAGGACAGATGAAAGCAGCACCTTGTAAGTCTTCATACTTGTCACCTTTTGTGTTTGCCTTGTCACCTCTCCAGGCCGGATTGTCTGTCAGATTTAGCTCCTTCACATCCTGAGGATCAAAACAGCACAGTGAAAACACATCATAATGTCTTGGTCCAACAGACTTGGAGGCAGGTGGTGTGCTTATTGCTTTATTTTGATGGATGGTTTGAGTACAGAACTCAAGAAGGAACATATTTTAAAATCAAAATCTTTCTCAGTGCAACTTAGCTTAAATTTATAAGGTTTATCTCATTAGCTTATTGATGTCCTAAGTAGTTGATTTTTCCTTAACCATCAGGGGAAAAAAATGCACTTGCCTTACATTTCCCCTGTAATGCAAAGCTAAAATGGGAAACAAGAAAGAAAAAACATCTAATCAGATAAAACACAATCGACCACCATAAAAAGCTGGAAAGATCCCTTGGCAGCTTTGCATGCAAGCTAGGTCAATTGCCCAAACCCAAGGAGAAAACATACAGATAGGAAGATGTAACTATCACAGGAGATAATGCCCAAGATAGGGCACCATTTGAGGGCAAAGAAGCTGCCAAATACCAAATGCAGAATGCATTCACAGGATGTCTGACTTGTAGACTACACTGTAACTACTACATAAAGAACCTGAAACCACAGGTAGAAAAGGTTCACTGTTAAAATGATGGAGACTGGACATTGCAGATTGTAGGCCCTTTGGAGTGCAAATGTGGGCTACACTAATACAATTAAGGTGTCTGTTTCTTTCTCTTTGGTACCTGCACAGATTTTCTGTAACAACTTTGTATGATCTGAATCCAAGTTTAAGTGGGTATGGACTCAACAAGAATGTGCTGTTTCAGTGTTAATTAGCAACTTAATTCCGATAAGTTGCGTGGTTACCTTGTGGCTGCAGTGAAGCCATTTTTGTAAAGCAGAGCAGTTTTTTAAAATTATCTTTTTGTTGTGTCACTCATGTTAGCAGCCATTAGCAATGAAAATGTTGATCACAGAATACAACACAAACAATGGCTCAGTTCAAGTCATGATTGCATTTTTTTTTCCAATCATATAGGCCTTTATTTCTTCAAGAGTCTTCAATCATAAAATAATGTTCCCAACAACTTCCAACTACCGTCTTTCGTCACTGCCAAATCACATCCAATGGTGGGTATGCTACTCCGAGGCTTGCAAGCATGGACTGATCGAGCATGAGCAGCAGGCTGTGAAGACTCAATGGGATGCATTGTTTCAAACGGTCGAAACGTTGCTGGGTTATATGCAAGACATACCAGGCATCACACTAGCATAAACTAATATTACACTCATTTAGGAGGTAAACAAAATGTCACTTTGGCTTGAAAACAGCAAAGTCCACAAATATGTCCATCATAAGACGTGATTGTGTTACTGAAATCATTTATTAAATAATCTGGAATTACAGGGGACGAGGGGGGCACCTGACAGAGGTTTATAACATTACGAGGAGCATGGATAGGGTGAACAGGCAGACAGTCTGCTTCTCAGGGTGAAAATGTCAAATACTACAGGGCATAGGGTTAAGGTGAGTGGGGGAAACTTTATGGGAGATTTGCAAGGGAAGTTTCTGTTTTACACAGGTGATATTTGCCTGAAACACGCTGCCTGGGGATGTAGTAGAAGCAGATATGATAGCAACAATAAGTGGCATTTAGATAGAAATATGTAGAGGCAGGGAATACAATGTTATGGATCATAAACAGGCACATAGGATTAATTTAGAATAGCATCATGGTCAGCACAAACATAGTGGGCCAATGGGCTTACTCCTGTGCTACACCATTATATGTTCTATGAAAATACCTATATCCCTCTGCAAGTCAGAGCTATGCTCCTTTTCACCATTTAGATATTACATTCCTTTCATACTTTTCTCACCAAAATGGACATTTTACACATTTTACCATATTATGCTCTATTTGACACTCGTTTGTCCACTCAGTTAACTTATCTTTAGTAACCTTGCATCCTCTTTACAACTTATTTTTCCACCTATCTTTGTGTCATTAGCAATTTTGGACCTATACTCACATTCCTTCTTCCAAATCATTTACATAAACTGTAATGAATTGAGGGCCCAGCACCGATCTTGGAACCTGAAAATGACCCACTTATATTTGTGCTTTGTTTCCTGTTAGCCAGCCAATCTTTTCTCATGCCAATGTGCAGCATCCACACCATTAGCTTTTATATTTTCTGTAATAATCTTTGACACAGCAATTTATCAAGTGTCTTCTGGAAATCAAGGACAGGACATCCACCACTTCCCCTTTATCCATACTAAATTTTACCTCAAAGAATAGATTCATAGAATCTCTACAGCGTGGAAACAGGCCATTTGGCCCATCACGTCTACACTGACCGTCTGAACAGCATCCCATCCAGACCCATCCCCCCCCCGCCAACTGTATCCCTGCAAACCACATTTCCCATGGCTAATCCACCTAGCCTGTACCTTCCTGGACACTATGGGCAATTTAACATGGCCAATCCACCTAATGTGCACATCTTTGGACTGTGGGAGGAAACCAGTTGGTCAAACATGATTTGCATTGACGTTCCCAAATGCCCTTTTATAAATTCTTAAATAATAGTTTCTGTAGTTTCCTGCTTTATTTCCCTCCCCTTTTGAATAAGGGAATTAGAAGCACAATCTTCCAATCTAAAGGGACCACTAAATCAATGAACTTTTGGAAAACTAACCACTTCTCTAATGATTGTGGTTTGCCTGAATTTCTCCCTTCCTTCCATTTCCTGATTTTTTTTTCCACTGCTACTGGAATGTTACTCATATTCTTTGTCATGAAGACTGATGTAAAAGGCCTGTTCAAAGTATCTGTCACTCACTTTCTATAAGACCAACACACATTTTGTTAACTATTCTTTTTTAAACATTTACAGCAAATCTTACTATCAAGTTTTATATTCCTAGCTCACTTTCTCCCCTGCTCTAATTTTTCCTTCCATTCCTTTTGTTGCAATTCTTTGATGTTTTTGACATTCTGTCCAACCATTTTACCCGCCACCTGCCTTTCAACAACTGTATGTTTTTTTCCCTTTAAGTTTGATACTATTTCTACTTAACCACAGATAATGGGTCTATCCCTTGGAATTTTTCTTACTCGTTGGCAATACCTATGTTGTCTATTCTGAGATATCACCTTAGTTGTCTGCCACTGCATCTCAAATTAAGCCATCCTTTAGCCAGTTGTGTTTTCATGGCCTCATATTTGCCCTTATTTACATTTAAAACAACAGTCTTGAACCCACTCCCCTCTCCCTCAAACAAAGTTAGTTTCTGCTACCTGGAGGCACCTTCATTTAGAAATCACTAATTAATCCTACTACAATGTACATTACCAGGCGGAGTACATCCTGTCCATCTTCTCTCCCACCTATCGGTTCCTCCTACCTCACTGACCAATCCCCACCTCTGCCTACCTGCACTCACCTATCACCATCCCACCTACCTTCCCCAGCCCCACCTCTCGTCTCTCTATTTCAGAGCTCCCTTCCCCGTCCCCCATTTCTGAAGAAGTGTCCCAACCTGAAACGTCAACTTTCCTGCTCCTCTGATGCTGCCTGGCCTGCTGTGCTCCTCCAGCCCCATACTGTGTTATCTCTGACTCCAGCATTGGCAGTTCTTACTATCTCTGAGTGAGTACATCCTGTTCTCTGGTCAGTTCCAGAATGAATCATTCTAAGAAACTATCCTGGAAATTTTCTATAAATGTCTCACTTCGGCTACCTTCTTCCATCCGATTTTTTTCTAGTAAATATATGGATTAAAAATCTTTAAGACGATAAGAGATAGAAACACGAGTAGGTTGTTTTACCCATCAAGCCTGCTCCACCATTCAATAGGATCATGGCTAATCTAACACTCCTCATGCACACTTTGCTGTAACACTTGATTCTCTGATTGATCAAGAATCTATCTCAGCCTTCAATAGACACAAGAGTTCTGTCCCCACAGCTCTCTGTGGCAAGGAGCTCTCAATCATCTGACAGAAGAAATCCCTCTGGATGTCAGTCTTAAATTGATGCCCCTTTAATCTGAGACTATGCCTAGACTCTCCCATGAGGGGAAACATCCTCTCATAATTTACCCTGTCAAGGCTTTTAAGAATCCTCTACGTTTATATGAAATCACTTCTCATTCTTCTAAAATCCATTGAGTAGAGGCCCAACCTGTTTAGCTTTTGCTTATAAGACAAACCCTCCAGACCAGGGATCATCCTAGTGAATTTTATCTGAACTGCCTCCAATGAAACAATATCCTTTATTTAATAAGAAGATCAAAACTGCTCACAGTATTCCAGATGTGGTCTCACCAGCGCCTTGTACATTCACAGTAAGAATCCCCTACTCATACTCAATCCTCTTGAATTAAGGGCCAACATCCCTGACACCCGTGTGCTAGCTTTCTGTGTTTTGTGCATAAATAACACCAAGTCCCTTTGAGTTACAGCTTTCTTCAGATTTTCTCCATTCAAGTAATATTGTTCTTTTGTTCTCCCTTTAAAATGAACAACTTCACGTTTTCGCATATTATGCTTGAAATCTCCTATGATAACCACATTGCCTTTCTGACAGTCTTATGTCTTCTTTAATGCCCCACACCATGGGACAATTGCTGCATGTGCGTGTTTTTCTGGGGGGGTGGGGCAGAGAGAATGTACACTACTCCCGCAATCGACTTCTTGCCTTTATCATTTCTATATCTTGGGTTTCCAAACTTAAGTCATCATTCTTTATTGTGCTAATACCATCATTAACTAAGAACCACACCTCCACCTTTTCCTAGAGATAACAAAGTGTGGAGCTGGATGAACACAGCTGGCCAGGCA